CCCTTGAAAGCCCAGAAGCCAGGCATGAGCACATCAGCAACTTCCCCGTCAACCACCCATGAAACGACGCTGCAGCCTGTGACCGACCGGGATATCACAGCAACGCATGGCAGCGCTGCCGCAGGCGCTTGGCCAAGTTTCCCTATCCGCGGCTAAAAATAGCTCCTCTCCCATGAGCAGGAAAGCCGGATTCACCCTATGCTGCACAGAGAGGATCTGTTCTGCAGCCACCTGCCCTGCCCCTTGGGTTTGCCGTGTATATGGAATAATATTGGTGGCAGCCCGGGCTCCTGGGAACTCCCTGGCAGGGAATTAGCGCTGTGCCTGGCTGTGTTTTCTGCCCGGGGTGATCGTCACAGCGCTAATCACTTTGGGAGCTGACCCCAAGCCCATAAATAATCACAGGAGCTTTCTACCTTAGTGGAGCTGTGCATGTCCACGGCCGAGAGAGAACCTGGGTTAACCACAGGTCTGCAGGGAGTGCCGAGCTCTGCAGCACAGCGTGACGCTGCAGAGCTGACTCACGCCGGCAGTGTGGGGATGCAGGGCTCCTTTGTCCGGAGAGCAAAAACGCCGCGGGACTCTGACGCAGGGCACGGTGAAGGAAGGGCAGGGAGCCCCGGAGGGAGAATTTCAAGTCATCTTATATGTGGAGGGAAGCTTGCGGTCCTGGCCTGCCTTACAGCTTTCCACTTGCGAATGAGAATAAAGGCGCAGTGCGGGAAGCTGTGAGCTGCACGGACATCCTGCGCAAGGACAGGAAGGGACTGAACCTGGGAGGTGAAGTCAAACCACGCTGACCATTTCTGCTCTCCTTTGATGCATTTGCTCAGGTCAGAGCAGGGTTTTGCTCAGGACCGAGCAGGGTTGCTCCTCTCCCAAGCCCAACTGACTGCCTCCAAGCATTTCTAGCTCCCCCATGCTGATGAAGATACACAAACCACAGGCTGGTTTAAATTCTAACATGAGTATTGTGGCTCTACAAAGCTCCTGCAGAGCTGTTCTCTCCCTTTCACACAGTTTTTCCGTGCCTACCTGTTGTATTTGGAGGCGTATCCAGGATAGTCTTCAAAAGCTTCATGTCCTTAATGTTATGGATGTAAATTGACTCCTCCAGGCAAACAACCAGCCTCTGCAAGGACACAAGGGACGTGCACAGAACCTCACCACCATGGGCACGGTGCCTCTGTCTGCTGCTCCCACATTTCACACACCCAAATCTTCACTGTTAGAAAAACTCAACAGGAATTTCTCACGCACAGAAACGTAACAGAAGCATGATCTCTTCTGCTTCTCCATCCCCGCTCACTGGACAACCTTTGATTTTGTATGACTCTGCTTTTAAGAGTTGCCTGCATCTGGTCTTGCTTTAGAAAGCAGCTAAAACATCATGACTACTTCTCTGCTACTCTAAGAGCTGATCTTCCACGTCCCCAGGGACAGGAAGGCACATCAGGGTTATACTCTAGCCATGGGGCCTCGATTGCCACCCTTTCCTACCCCAACTTTTCTTTGCAGTTCTTTTCATAGCAAATTACTTTTTGATCATAAAGGCCAGGCAGCAGAGAGGCTGCCAATCCTGCTTGTCAGTATGCCTACAGACGGGACTACGCACCCCTTGCCCTGATGTTTTTCTGATTTGGGAGTGAACATTTAGGTGATGGGCCTCCCGCTGCTGCTAAACCTAATGCATCTGTTCAGCAAATTAATGTTTCTTTTCCCATTTGGCACCTGCAGGCAAGACTCTGCTTTATGTGCCCTGCAGAACTGCGTAAAAACTGGGCTGGGAAACATTTGTTCAGGGACGGTCACACTGACACCATCTTGGCAGATGTGTAGGGTATTTCCAAGTTAATGTGCTTGAACCTCTTCTGCTGAACTCGTCAGGAACACCTACCCAGCCAGCCAAGAGGCAGCCGCTACGAGAGGAGCTGCCAAGCGATGGGGAGGAAAGGCAGAAAGCAAAAAGGAAGCCTAACACTGTAACCTTAGCACTGGGCCACCACCTCTGTGACCACTCAGCTTTGTGTTTCAGCTTGGTCCAGATCTCTACATGTTACCGTGGAGGCATTTTGCACAGAGGCTTTTTTTGGGACCAGGCTTTGGATCTGGCTGAAGGGTTGTGCTTTCTAAGTCCAGCGAGCGCACAGCTCCACCTACGTTAGTGCCAAGTGTCCAGAAGTGCTGAAAACCTCCCAATAAAAATGTAAGGCCAGACTCCATCCAGGCTCCTGAATTTGGAGCACCCGAATCCATGTACAGGAAGCCTCCACCTCTTTAGAAATGAGGCCACTTATTTAGCATCTAAATGTGGAGCTTAGTCACTAACTTGAAACACCCACATTAGAAAATCTTTGCCTTGCTCCACCATTGCTCTCGGATCAAACTCTTTCCCACTTCTATTCCTGCTAACCACAGCATCTGGGGCTGTGTCAGAGCCATTTTGCATTTCCAGGAAGACTTTGCCTTTTCTACAATAACAGCCATCAACTTGCTAGCGGAGACCGTCAGAGTAATATTTATACAGCTGATTTCGGCAAAGCCACCGTGTGCTTTCCCAGAACTGCAAAACGCACTGCTATTGATGTACAGGTGAAGGGAGGTTTCCAGATGATGGCAAAGCAACAGCCAGAGCTGCAGCAAGAGATGCTGGCACTGACAGGGACAAAATCCAGGAAAGTGACGGGGGTGGGAGGTAAACAGGCAAAGGAAGCCTGGACAAGCTCACCACGAGATGGAGAGGGCTGGTTCTCTGCCTCCTGCCCTCCACGCAGCCCTGCAGCCCACGCTAACGTCAGTGCAAACCCTGCCGAGATGAGGAACGGGTTTTATCTTCACTGTGCACACAGACGGCGCCTCAGAAAAGGTGCCTGGTGTTGTGATGGCTACACAGGGTTCAAGGCACTGCGTCTTATATGAAATGTTACTGCTCACCAGTGGTTTTCTTTAGTACTTCAGTTTGACACAAATCAGGTTAGATAACTGAGTTGTGTGTTGAGGACTTAAATGTGCTGGGTATGGACACAGCCAGGGAGGTTGCAGGAGAGCTTCTCACCAGTCCCACAGCACGGCCTTATTCCCCACTTTGAAACAAATCGCAATCTACCTTAACACACTTGACAGTTATAATGGAGCCGGGAACAAAGAATTCCCATGAATCAACAGCAGCCAAGGGACGAGGACTTTTTCACAGAGAGATCAAACTGAAACATGCACCATCTGTTTGAGACCTGTTCCCATTTTATTTGCCACCATTTTCCTCTGCTAACGCCTTGTATGGGATTTGGCTTTCTATGGACTTTTAACAAGGTATATTTTTCATACAGAAGCCCAGGCAAAAGGCTCAAATGTCACAGCACATGCAGAGCCAGCTTAATCTTGAATGTAGATTGAAACAGTGATTTCTCTTCTATCTACCCAAGTATCTGTAGCATCTTCAAATCTCTCCAGGTTTATCCGGATGAGCTCAGCCTGGGATTTGAACCCAAGCTCATAAAGCAGCCAAGGAACACGGATGCAAAGCTGGGCCTATGCATCATCTTCAGGCAATCTCCAGAGCAGCACATGGGGAAAAGCCTGAACTTATTTTATTCTCACACTAATCTAGAACTGCTAAGCAGAACCTCCCGGTTTATTTTTATACATATACACCTATCTGCAATTCAAAGGAAGTCCTTATTTTGCCAGCTCCGTTGTAAGTGCAAGTGAAAAAAACCAATTTAGGACAGATTTAATTCTAGTACAGGAACTTCTGGTCAAACACAGCTTTACTGGAAACTCAACCCAGAGTTTTCTTATGGGATAGCCTTGCTGCAGGACTCAGTGTTGCTAACTGAGGAGAGGCTGATTATATACAATTACAAAGACTGCTTATTTCTTCCTTGTAAAATGTCTTCTGCTTCTTATGGCATATACTTGGAAAATAATTATGGACAGAAAGAAAAGGTGACTTAAAATCATCCAAAAGGGCTCAGGGCTGCAGGAGGCTGTGTCAGTTCAGAGAATAACACTCTAAAAGCCTTCTTCTAAGTGGCCCAAATGTTTTCTATACCTTTAAAACAAGGCTGCTAGCAGTACTTGAGAAGCAGCCTTTCGCCTCATCCATGGAGTTCAAGTTACTCCTGGGTTTTGTTACCAACTTTGAAGGTCTCAATTGCAACCAAGATGGCAGAGGTGGGCCTGAAGTCAGGATGTGGACTCTAAGGGAGGGAGGAAGATGAAAAGGTGTTTTTTTGGCAGAGCTGCATGCTGAATAGGCAAGAAGGCAAACAACAAAGTCTTTGTTAGTCTTCTGCCACGAAAACAAGGAGTTAGCTTCATTTTACTGAAGCAAACAGTTGCGGCAGATGATATCCACAGCCATCCTGCTCCTCCGTCAGATGTCACCGAGCCCGAAGTGGAGCTGACAGAAGAGGACAGGTACCTACCTCTCCAGTGCCACTTCAGTCTCTGTGCAAACCTACCCAGGCTGCCAGCGGTGTCCCAGCTGGAAAGTCAACACCAGCGAAGAGCCAGAGTGGGACAACTCTGGCTAACCCCTTTCCCCAGCCTCTTACCTGACGATTCAGCCGGATGGACAGTATGTTACTGGAATAGCTATAGTTGCAGATCTCTGTCCCTTTCTTGAAGTGGTAGACATTCATTTGCTGTGGCTTGGCATGACTGACCACAACCACAAGGCTGCTGGAGAACAGACGCTCCACGATGTAAACATCTGGGATTTCATCTGGGCACAGAAGGAAAGCAAGACAGAGTCTTTAGTTTGGCTTATGGTTGGTTTGTTTGCAGCGGCCAGTGAGACTCAACTCAGGAGGGAAGGTATTCAACATCTGCTTTTCTTAAAAACTTCTCATACCTGGCACAAAGCATTTACGTCAGAGCAGGAAGGGATTAATGAACCTTATTCTGCCTTCCCCTGAAGGCAGAATTTAAGCCAGCCCACTTTGACAGTGCTGTTGTGCCTCTCCTGGGCAGGGCCCTCCAGCTGAAGCTAATCCTTAGGAAGGGGATATAAAAAGGAGGAGCTCAGCCAGCTTGGTCAGGGACTTTCCTGGAGGGAAGGAGCTAGCTAGGGCTTACTGAGGTAAGAAACAGGCTGTGTGCAACCCATTGTTTGTTCTGCATAGTGACTGATTTCTTCCCAGCCTCCTTAGGGAAGGCTGACATGTTTAAGCCTTCCCTGTCACCGGGGTCATGGTCTCTAGAGAGCTCTAGCATGGCTGTGGTGAACAGTGGTGTGGTATGTCTTGCAGAGACCATGTTGGGTGTGACTCCTATTGTGTTGAGAGGGTACTGTTACAATGGTCCTGGACCTGTACCTTGATCATCAGGGACCATGACTCTTGGTGTCCTGAATGTGCTCAGTGCTTGGGCTGTCCTGCATTGGAGGTGTGGGGATGGCTCGTCTCAGCCCATCACTTTTGAGTGTGTCACCAGCAGGTTCAGAGAAGGCCACAAAAATGATCTGAGGGCTGGAGCACCTCTCCTGTGAGGACAGGCTGAGAGAGTTGGGGTTGTTCAGCCTGGAGAAGAGAAGGCTGCGGGGAGACCATACTGCAGCCTTTCGGTACTTAAAGGGAGCCTACAGGAAGGATGGGGACAATCTTTCTAGCAAGGCCTGTTGTGACAGGACAAGGAGTAATGGTTTTAGACTAAAGGAGGGTAGATTTAGACTGGACATAAGGAAGAAATTTTTTACAATGAGGTTGGTGAGGCACTGGCACAGGCTGCCCAGAGAGTTGTGGAGGCCCCATCCCTGGAAACATTCAAGGCCAGGTTGGATGGGGCTCTGAGCAACCTGGAGTGGTAAAAGCTGTCCCTGCTCACTGCAGGGGGTTGGGCTAGATGACCTCTGAAGGTCCCTTCCAACCCAAAGCATTCTATCATTCTATGATCTGTTTCTCTCTGGCCCTTGGTCTGACTTGGGGAGCAATCCAAACTCCTAAATAATTTTAAATTAAGTCTGTGGCTTGCTGCTGTATAGCAGCTGACTTACCCTGTGGGGTAAAGAGGAAAGGAGCCTGGACTCTGCAGATGATGCAGCTATGTCTGGTTGCTGAGGCTCCCTCTATAGCCAGTGGAGAGAGACTAGTATCTCCCAGCTGTGAGGCACATCTTTGGTGCATCTCAGCTGAAATACTTCTGGCCACGGCCTGAACCAGACCAGAGTACACGCTCTATGAAGCCTGACTTGTTTTGGGCTGTTAAGTGCACTGCATGCTGCTCTGAGCACAGCTAATAGCTGAAAGCCTGCTGTGAATGACCTTCTTACATGGGAAACCTGTTAAAAACATCTTGCTTGTAAATACCACACTGGCCTAAAAGCCTGTGAGTTACCCAGCATCCGTGATGGGATTCTGCAGGCTCCTGTCCATGTACCTGAAATGTGCTAGTGGTAAACTACCTCTGAATGCTGGTTTGCAGGACAAACTGCCGCTGTCAGACTGACAGCAGTGACAGAGAAGCTGGACTCTAAACTTGTGGGGCTCCTTCAACTTTGTTAAAGTACTGCTGACTGTTCAGAAGCTTCTCCAAGGCTGTAGCTCACTGTAAAGGCTGGGGTGCACAGGGCAATAACCAGAACTGTTCCTCCTCTGATACGGGTACAGCAGAAATGAATGCTGTATGCGCAGTGGCAGTGAGCAGCATCACCCCCTCAAGGCAGGCTGAAGTGCAGTAATACAGGTAAAGTCTGTCAGCCAATATTCCATCGCAGCAAAACAGGGGACTTACTGCTTTCGTGGACCTGGTCCAGTTGCTCCACAGAACTTAAGGAGAAAAGCCTGTATCCAGTTGTGGTTCCAATTGCCAGGGAGCTGCAAAGACAAGACAAAAGCTTGCTAGTTTAGACCTTGTGGCCTCCAGGTGATGACAAGAATCCCTGCCTGTTGGGGAAGTGGGTAGTTCCTGGTACAGTGATCCGTGAAGGCACAACTTCAGTTTCCACTCTCAACCTAAAGTGTATAAGGTAACAAGCCCAAGAATCCTGCTTTCCAGCTGATGCTATTGCAGCCTACAGAAGGCAGCTCACAGTATCCCTGAGACAGCAAACTATCATCCATTCACATGGTCCTGCGGCTGCTGGAGGCACAAACAGGCATATCTCTACCTGGGAGGCTGCAGATGGGACCTTTGGGACACAAAAGGGAGCTGTTTCCTAAGCAAGGAGCTGATCCATCTACACTGACTCGCGAGGGCTGTGGAAGCTTTGCTCTCACCGCTAATGGCAGCGGGCGCAGGCACGTAGCACAAGGCGCAGTCATGCCAAGCGCTGGCTCTGCTCAGTTCCAGATATAGTAAGCAGCAACATCTAGGTCTTAAATCAGCAGCCAGCCCAGAATACCAACGCACAGCGTTCATGCTGGTGGTCAGGAGGTTCACGCCAGCAGTGCATGGCCACCCATCAAAGCACTCTTTGTTTAGACAGGGTAAACGCAAAGCAGCGTGGCAAAGGTAATGCTATTATTTCCAGGTGCAAGACTGGTATCCATGATTCTTATCTTGTACCCCACGATCTGGGCTGATCTTGGCTCTGGGCTACAATTGCCAGATGCTGCGTGCAGCTCGCTGCTTCAGGATGTTTGTTGTCCCACTTGGAAATGGCTCTTAAATCATCGGCTTTGAAGCAGGGAAACCACAGGTTAGCAACGGTGTAAGGGTGAGAGGCTCCAAGGAAACCCTCTGTTGTCTTGAGGCGGTGGGGGGGGGGTACTTTAGCACAGGCTGCTCACCAGGAGCCTGCGCGGGGCTCTCGGCACGGAGCCCTGGGCAACTTTGCCACCTACAAAGTGGTCCCAGAACAGGCCAGCCAGACATTGGCATGGAGGGGCTGTCAGCAGACAAAGCCCCGAGAGAAAAATCACTTCTCTGGCCATCCCAAAGTGCTTCCCAAACTGCTGGGGAGGTAAAAAAAAAAAAAGGGGGGGATTGCTCTGAATTGGCTGCCTCCCTTGGATTCCCAGAGACCTAACTGGGGGCATTTGAGGATTTCTGCGGAGAGCCAGGTGCCCCCAAAGAGGGGCAGGGCCTCGCGGACCGGGGGATCCCGCAGGGCCAGCCCCGTTCGGGCCGTGGGGAGA